GGTCTCCCAGTGCAGCAGGGGAGGGATGAAGGAAGTGCGCTGGGGAGATGGATGTGAGTGAGATTTTGTTACTTGTTTCCCAGCCACCGGTGGAAGGAGGTCTTGCTTTAGGGTGGGCCTATATGTACAGAACAATAATGGGATGCTGTGTATATGTCTGTGTTATGGGGCTTCCCCGCTCTCTCTGCACTGTGCCATCTTTGGCAGGGTACTCTGTGCTGTGCGTGGCTGTCACATGCCCTCGGGCGGTGGTGCCGCCAGAGGGGAGCGGAAAAGCACCCTGCATTGTTGCTCAGGTGGAAAAATATATACCGGACTTGAACACATTGGGGTCAATCTACCAAATTTACAGCAGCTGCCCCAGATTTTTATGAATGGAATAGGGTTTGCAGTCCTCTCCTGTATATAAGTGGTTCCATGGTGTAATGGTTAGCACTCTGGACTCTGAATCCAGCGATCCGAGTTCAAATCTCGGTGGGACCTTCCCTTTTTGGCCACCCGCTCGCACTCTGTTCCTCCCCCACCACCACCCGCGACGAGGGTCCCTGCTCTGCCCCAGTCCACGTGCGACATCCCGTGTTTGACCCCCCCGTCAGCGACCACATGTGATGTCCCACACGTGACACCCCACTGGGGACCACATATGATGTCCCAAGTTTGACCCCCCATCAGCGACCACATGTGATGTCCCGTGCTTCACACCTGGTCCAGGACCCCATGTGACACCCCATCAGGGACCACACATGACATCCCATGTGTGACACCCCGCTGGAGACCCCGTGTGACATCACGTGTTTGACAACCAGTCAAGGATCACGTGCAACATTCCACACGTGACACCCCACTGGGGACCACATGCGATGTCCCGTGCTTGACACCTGGTCCAGGACCCCATGTGACACCCCATCAGGGACCACACGTCATGTCCCACACGTGACACCCCACTGGAGACCACATGGGACATCCCATGTTTGACAACCGGTCAGCGATCACATGCGATGTCCCACTAGGGACCACATGTGATGTCCCATGTTTGACACCCCATCAGTGACCACACATGACATCCCACGCATGACACCCCACTGGGGACCACAGTGACGTCCCATGGGTGTGACACCCCATCACGATTCCCTGTGTGGCACCCAACAGGGGGTCACCCCACGCATGCCACCACATGTGACACCCCATACGTGACGTCCCATCAGAGACCACCTATGAAGTCCCCCCCCCCATGTCTGCCACCCCACAAGTGCCACCGGCAGAGGGAGGTGACCTCGTGTCCTCCTGTCCCCAAGTGAGCTGAAGGTGGCCCTCCAGCCACTTCTCCTCTCGTACCTCCGGCCAGAACACAGCCCTGCCAGAACCTGGGGTCTCCCAGTGCCTCCCAGTCCCTCCCAGTCCCACTGCCCCCACGGCAGAACCTGGCTTTTCCCATCCCACCTCCCCAGTGGTGGTGACCCCCATCCTCAGCCAGCGATTTCCCCTTGGTGAATCCATGCTGAGTACTCCTGATAACCTTCTTTTCCTCCACTTGCTTGTTGCCCCAACCAGCCCCGTGTCCCTCGCAGGCCACAGGGACCTGAATATGGGGACAGAGTGGGGGGCACCGGCCTGGGGACAGGGGACCATCTCCTCCCCTCCACCCCCAATAATCTCCTTCGGGGCAGCCCCACTGCAGGACCACGCTGGCGGCGACGACCGGGCACGGGTCCACCCCGCTGCCTCACCCAGGCCAACGTCCCCTCACCACGGTGACACTCTCGCTCCGGTGCCACCAACCCCGATGACCTCAACGATTGCGAAACCTCCCTGAGCAAAGGGCAGCACCTTTGGTTTTCCAACAGCCTTGGAAAAAAAAAAAACAACATTTCCCAACCCATCCACCAATCGGAGGCAAAGGTGAGCGACACCGTGGCGAGGCCGCGCTGGACCTGTTTGGTTCTTTTTTAATTATTATTATTGTTATGTAACGAGCGGAAAGATTAATTAGCCTGACAAGAAGCAGCTTGCCAGGCGCTCACACCCAGGTTGACCTGTTTGGGGTCAGCTGGAGATGTTTGAGGTTGGCTGGAGATGTTTGGGGTCAGCTTGAGACATTTGGGGTCACTTGGAGATGTTGGAGATGCTTGGGGTCAGCTGGAATTGTTGGAGATGTTTGGGGTCAGCTGAAGATGTTTGGGGTCAGCTTGAGACGTTTGGGGTCACTTGGAGATGTTGGACATGTTTGGGGTCAGCTTGAGACGTTTGGGGTCAGTTGGAGATGTTGGACATGTTTGGGGTCAGCTTGAGACGTTTGGGGTCACTTGGAGATGTTGGACATGTTTGGGGTCAGCTGGAGATATTTGGGGTCAGCTGGAGAAGTTTGAGGTCAGCTTGAGATGTTTGGGGTCACTTGGAGATGTTGAAGATGTCTGGGGTGAGCTGGAAGTGCTGAAGATGTTTGGGGTCAGCTGGAGATGTTTGGAGTCAGCTGGAGATGTTGGAGATGTCTGAGGTCAGCTGAAGATGTTTGGGGTCAGCTTGAGACGTGTGGGGTCACTTGGAGATGTTGGACATGTTTGGGGTCAGCTGGAGATGTCTGAGGTCAGCTGGAGATGTTGGATATGTTTGGGGTCAGTTGGAGATGTTTGGGGTCAGCTTGAGACATTTGGGGTCACTTGGAGATGTTGAAGATGTTTGGGGTCAGCTGGAAGTGCTGGAGATGTTTGAGGTCAGCTGGAGATGTTTGGGGGCAGTTGGAGATATTGGACATGTTTGGGGTCAGCTTGAGACATTTGGGGGTCACTTGGAGATGTTGGAGATGTTTGGGGTCAGCTGGAAGTGCTGGAGATGTTTGGGGTCACTTGGATATGTCTGGGGTCACTTGGAGATGCTGGAGATGTCTGAGGTCAGCTGGAGATGTTTGGAGTCAGCTGGAGATGTTGGACATGTTTGGGGTCACTTGGAGATGTCGGAGATATTTGGGGTCATCTGGAGATGCTGGAGATGTCTGGGGTGAGCTGGAGATGTTTGGAGGGTGGAGGGGGGGGGGGGCGGTTGAATGGAGACATGGAGGGGTTGGATGGAGATGTTGGGGTTCGATGGAGACACGGGGGGCGTTGATGAAGATGTTGGGGTTGGATGGAGACATTGGGTTGGATGGTGAGGTTGCCATTGAATGGAGCCATGGGAGGGCTGGACGGAGATGGATGGATGGATGGATGGATGGATGGATGGATGGATGGATGGACAGACGGACGGCTGGCTGGCTGGCTGGCTGGCTGGTTAGATGGATGAATGGATGGATGGATGAATGGATGGATGGACGGACGGATGGATGGATGGATGGATGGATGGATGGATGGATGGATGAAGGGATGGGTGGATGGATGGATGGATGGATGGATGGATGGATGGATGGATGGATGGATGGATGGATGGATGGATGGATGGATGGATGGATGGATGGATGGATGGATGGATGGATGGATGGATGGATGGATGGATGGATGGATGGATGGATGGATGGAGGGGTGGATGGATAGATGGATGGATGGATGGATGGATGGATGGATGGACGGATGGATGGATGGATGGATGGATGAATGGATGGATGGATGGATGGACGGATGGATGGATTGACAGATGGATGGATGGATGGATGGATGGATGGATGGATGGATGGATGGACAGATGATGGATGGACGGATGGAGGTGTGGCTGAACAGTTAGTTAGATGGATGGAAGGAGAAACAGATCCAGTAGATTGAAGAGCTGCGCAGACAGGCGGGTGGGGTGCTGGAAAGACGGACGTCAGCCAG